AGCGGAGACGGTTTGTCAGTCTGGATATTATTTTAAACTGTTATTATATTTTATTATAGCCTGGAAGTTGAATTACTATTATAAATTACAACAAAATAACTAAAATCATTATTTTTATTTTATTTGTTTCTATGATAGTTAGGTAATACAGGATAAAATAAAAATAAATAAAACGGTCAGTCAGCCTATGATATTACTATAAGTACATTTGATGATAGGTATTATTGTGAATAAAGTAATTTATATTATATAACCTATTTACGCGGAACCTTGTTTTAAATTTTCAATGTCTAGCTATAAAAGTTTAACTTTTAATAAATTATTAACTACAAAAAAATTATTAAATTTTAAATTTGATAAATTTTGTCGAAATTCGAACTTTAAATGCTTAAAAAAAAAAATGGGAGTATGCGTTTTTAATATTTTTCAACTGCTATTGTAACAATATATCAGGAGCTTTGCATTCAATTTTCAAGCTTTTTACCCAACAAATAAAATTTTACTGATATTTATAGAAATAAAACTAAAAAAATTGAAAATTGAAAATGTCCGTAAACAGCTCAAAACAAGTCAAAATATTTTCAAAATTGTATGGTGTATAAAAAATTCTAATATAAACATTCAGTGAAATTTTCTACAGAAAAGTATCTACAGTCATTCGTTTTTTAATTACAACAAAACAAGAAAATCGTTACATGAGAAATCGAGTGAATTTCAAATGTTGTAAAAATATAAATTTCAAACTCTCATAAAAATTTAATTTGGCATTCTTCTAGAAATTTTTTTGATGAAGGTAGACAAACTTATGAGGTATCTTGTATTATATTTTAAAATCTTAGATTTAAAAAGAACATTTTTTATGAATTTCTAACTCAAAATAATTTGCAAGTTTTCGTCATTTTTACGTATTTTGTCAATATTTGAAATTTAAATGCTTATAAAAAAAAATGTGACCATGGATTTTTAATTTTTTTCATCTGCCTTTCAAAAAATATACTTATAATTATAATACACATATTAATATTATTTTATTTCATTTTAATAATAATAAATTGCCTTCCAATGGTCCAAACAAGTAAAAACTATATCAGCTACGAAAGTACAAATGTACAATTAATTTATACTACCATATTAGTAAAAAATAAATAGTAAGACTTAAAAATACCTAATAAAATAAAAATACTTAAAACCTACCTACCTACATAACATATTAATAATATATATATATATTTTAATTCCTCCAATAAGAACTTAGAATGAGAAAGAATGGAGAGTTGCAAATAATAATAACAATAATAAACACTTTTAACAGTTTAATGAGATTTTGCGTTTGGTACACAATCAGTTACATATTTAAATAAATTTCTTGGTTTCTTTTTTTTGTTTATTGTGTTCTGTTGAATCAGGTCGACCTATAATATTATGTTATAATTTTATGAAATTAGTAAATCATTAAACAATAAGTATGTTGTAGTTAAATAAGAAGATAAATGATTACTTATAAATCAATTACCTACTTATACATTGCCAATCAAAACTATTTTTTTCTAATCTGCTTTTAAATTTTAATACATTTTCATAAGATGAACCACCAAACTTTGTAATGTTATTTATCATTTACCATTATGCTTTCTATATCTTTCAAAATTAAAAATGATTTTTTTTTATCCTTATACACTATTGTTTTATTAGTTTTCATATTATTTTCATCACTAACTTTTTTATTATTTTCCATTATTCTATTAGATTCAATACCTAGGTACCAAAAAATCTAAAAAAATATAGGTATTAACAGTTATTTTTTACAGACATTTTAAATTCAAATTCTGACAAAATTTAACAAATTATCAAAAATTATCAATTATTGTAATTAAAAAATTATAAAATCTTCAATTTTTATAACTAAAGATTGAAAAGTTAGAATAAGGTTATATATGAATTACTTAATTCACAAAAATGTCATCCAATGTACTTAGTATTATCATAGACTGACTGAACTGTCTTAAATTTTTAAGGTGACATGGTGTATTTTCTTCACAGTCTATGTACATTGTAAATAAGTGCATTGTGTAATTGAGTGTTTCATAAATTAATTTCAAAATGAATCTTTCTATTAATTCTGATGATATGCCTTCCTCTTTTAAAATTACTATTGTAAAAAATGCGATAACTATTGTTCGGTCGAATTTAAATAATATGCACGGTATAGGAAAGTGGGTAGAAGAATTTTCTACAAAAACGAATACTAGGTGGAATGTACGAACAACAGTACCTAAAGGAACATATATTCAATGCAAGTAAGCAAGCTACCTAGTAAATATGATGTAAATATATAATAATATATATTATAATATATTATATTTATGAATCAGAAATGTAATCTAAATGTTTTGTTATACTACTTTACAGAAAAATTATGTTTGCCACCATAGTTCTCACCATAAAGTTGACAGAACGTTAAACAAAAGAAGTCAATCAAAAAATACTAACTGTCAAGCATCTATTAAAATTTTAGTGAAAATAGACACTGTATCTTCTAGAAAAAGTGACCCTTTTGTGAAGGTGGGTAAAATATTACCAATTACATTTTAGTTGTACGTATGAAAATATTTTCTAATGCTGAATTTAAAAATAATTATATAATCAACTAAAAAACATGAAATTAGGTACTATTTATTTATCTGAATAGTAGTACTGCACATCACACAATCTTTAAATTTACTGAAAAATGTTAACTTTAAATTATATACCCACTAATAACTACATTTAATATTTAATGTTTATAGAATAAATACTTAGGCATGATTACTATCGCAAATACTCATAATAATGGTATTAATACTGCTGAAGCACTACGGTATTTGAATCCAGATGTTAATTTAAGAAGTACATTTAAAGATTATTTTTATGATGGGATGACAATATCAGATGCATTACGGTAAATAATATATTAATAAGAACAATATGACAGATTTAAAGTAGAATTTATGTTGATTTGTTACAATAGATATTGTCATTTGATGTAAATAAAACATAATTTGATTGTACAGTATTTATAATAAAATTGATTAGGCGCATGGTTTGAATTATACAATTTGTCCATTTCTAATGTTAACATTAATTAAAATTGAACACTTATTCAGTTAGTATTTCTAATAAAAGTTATTATTATTTTATTTAAATGTATTCTATAAACCTATGTATACACAAAAATTAATTGTATTATTTTATAACTAATAAAAGTTATTATTATTTTATTTAAATGTATTCTATAAACCTATGTATACACAAAAATTAATTGTATTATTTTATAATTAATAGATATCATGAGAGTATTTTAACAATGGCAAATAAACCAATTGAAGATTTTGCTAATGGTAGAATTAGGTAACCCAACATATAGATGTGTGCAAAACTGGCATGACCAGTGAAGATTACTAAACCTAGGACCTCGTACTGGTCAAGGAGTAATTATGGTAATAAAATATATATTATATTATATTTACATGATGAATATATTCTATAAATGTATTATTACTATTTATACTGTTTACTATAGAAACATTTTTATTACAAATTATTAACAGTTTTAATTTTACAATTTATTACACTACATCAGAATTGTAAATTGTAATCCAAATCCACTAGACTCTTATATTTTCATAAGTATATTACAGATTTTACTTCACAGGTATTTTTTTTTTTCCAACTTTTCTAGTAATGTTAGTATTAAATTATGCATAATATATTTTTAGTTACTAAATTGTATAGGTGTAACTATATTGAAAATCAAAAATGTTCAACAATTCATTTTCATTTGGGCATTTGGTATTTATAAGTGGGAATACAATCATTAGGATATGACTTAACATTCCAGATAAATTACAGATGATTAATAAGTGTTCCGTTTTATTGTGCAATAAATATTGCGTATAATTCATTATAAATTATTTTCTATCGTTAATATCTTTGATGCTAGTAATTAATTCAAATTTTGCATTACATTCTTTACAGCCTATTACTTAAAATTGTATTTATTTTTATTTATTTATTTATTTTAGAAACTAGAAGAAAAAAAAGAAACTTATGCTACAAATGGGATATCAATTTACTTCCAAGAGGAACCATTTGTTATTCTTATATTAACTCCAATTATGAAACGAGCACATGATTTACCATTATCCGAAGATATTGTATTTGTGGACTCAACTAGTTCTTGTGACCCTGAAAACCATTGCATTATATTTTTACTTACTCCATGTGCTGCTGGTGCAGCTCCTTTAGGTGTAATTTTATCCAAAGGCCAAAGCGAAGCATCCTATTCAAGTGGATTTAATTTAATAAAGCAAAATGTAAAAAATGCATTTGGTGGTCAAGGTTTCCCATCTTTATTTTTGGCAGATAACTCAGATGCCGAAATCAATGCACTGAAAACTGTGTGGCCACAGTCGAGATCGCTACTTTGCATTTTTCATGTACTACAATCAGTTTGGAGATGGCTCTGGGACGGTAAAAATAATATTAAAAAAGAAGATCGCACTTCTATGATGCATGGTTTTAGGAAAATATTATATGCACAGACTTCTGAAGAGGCACAAGAAAAATATGTTGAAACTATGAATATAAAAAGTAACTATCCTATGTGGCAAAAATATATCACAGTTCATCACTGGAAAAAAAAAGTAAAGTGGTGTTTAGTTTGGAGGGATCATACTAATAGAGGCCATCAGACCAACAACTTTAGTGAAGTATCAGTGAGAATTTTTAAGGAAAATGTATTAGGTCGTGTGAAAGCATACAATGTAATTTCATTGATTGACTTTTGCTGTACAAAATTGGTGGAATACTATAAAAAAAAATTTTTAGAATTTTCAAATGAAAGAAATTCCACTGCTAGACCGTTTTTTAAAAATTTAATTTAAAAAACTGATTATATCACCAAAGAAGAGATTACTGTAGACAATGAAGAATTTTATGTCCCAAGCGAAAAAAATAAAAAAATGATGTATTGTGTTGAACCAAATATTGGTGTTTGCTCATGTGAAGCAGGTATTCATGGACAATTTTGTAAACACCAATGCATAATTTATAAATATTTTAATAAAATTGGAGTTAATTTTCCTCCAGTAACCATAGAAGACAAATACTTTATAGCAAAACTGGCATTAGGTGAAAAAGTACCAAATAGGACATTTTATGAGGGCTTATTACCTACAGAAGTAATTCATGAACAGTCACTTGTATCACATGACTTTCATCAAGATATTGATTATGATGATGAAGCAAATAAAAAGAGTTCAACAGAAAATCCCAAGTTAGAACAACGTAATTGTTTATCCATATTAGATGAAATTACTCAACAAATGTCTAATAAAATAATGAAATATTAGGCGAGTCAACTTATGAAAATTTATAAAAATTTAAAAAAAGACTTGATAAAATACATACAGAAGGGCAGTTTAAAACTTTTTTAGCAACAACAGGTACATCATCATTATCTCTTAGACATAAAGATGGAGCGTCAATCAAAGTACAACCAACAACTATAGCTAGGAGAAGACCAGGGATTACTAGAGGAAGTAAACGTTTGCTGTCATATTTAAGGTACTTTTAATAATAATGTTTAAATAGTTTAACAATTAACGAGATTAATTCATTAAACTCAATATTAATTTTAGTACTATATTGCTGTCCATTACTGATGCCAAAATTATTATTATTGTAGATACAGTATCTACTTTAATCACAAATTTCACTTGAGCTCTGAAACTTGTGTTTTTAGACAGTCCACTTGCCTATACTGGATAAATCTACTAAATTTGAACTTACCTTGGTTACTTCGTCATTTGTTTCAATAATTAAATTGTTAAAATAAGAAGGAAGATTACTAGAATTTAGTTTAAGATTCATTTTCACAAAAGTTCAAGAATAACATATTATTGGACAACTCATAAGCATTAATTACAGAAAATTGAACTTAAAACACAACTTAGAAAACAAAACCTTTCTAATCCTATTAGAGAGTTGATGTGACTAAAAATAGAAATAATTTAATTGATAAAAATGTTCTATTAATTTCGAACTAACTCTGTTATTATGTTAATAAGTAAAAGTAATAAATATTAAGTGACTTATATTACATGACATTCATCAAGATATTGATTATGTTGAAGATGCAAATAAAAAGAGTTCAACAGAAAATACGAATTTAGAAAACATAATTGTTTATTCATATTAGATGATATTACACAGCAATTGTCTAATAATAAAATAATATTATATGTTATAATAGTGTAAATATATATAATACATGTAAAAATAAAAAATAATTTTATACTAAATAATTTATATTATTATTATATAATATATATTGTATTATTATTATATAATATATATTATATTATTATTATGTTTATATTTTAATTAATATTATTATTATTATTAAAAATGATAATTTGAATTTGGCGCTGAATTTGTGAGACCAATGAGAAGGCCGTATTTGCGTATTGGTTTTATTTGATGTGCGGAATGTTAATTGTTAATATGCAATCCGAACAATAGAAAAAAAGTTGCAAATGCAACAACATCCGAGCACTAAATTAATAACCAATAATGAATAAAGACGAATTATATAAAATATTATATAAATTTAAAATTATATAAAATACTACAATATCATCGCCAACGACCATACCACGTCGAATACACCAGTTCTCGTCTGATCACTGAAGTTAAGCAATGTCGGGCTCTTGGATGGGTGACCGCTTAGGAACATTACGTACCGTTGGCATTTTTTTGAAATTTCTTTTTTCAAAGTGCCACGTACGATTTTTTACTGGCCCCAAATACCTTTAAATTAATGTTTTTTTAAAAACGTTTAGGTAAGACATAAATTTCAAAATTTTTCACGGTATTTTTATATTAGCAATTTATAAACACCATAATATTTTTGAAATATTGTGACTCTTTTCGAGAAATTAACTATTTTTATACATAAGAATATTTTGAGTTAATAATTATTAGTTTTTTTTGAATTTATTATTGCCGATAAAATGTTTTTTTCTCCTTCAAAATATTTGAAAATGTAATACACCGTTCCTCATAAGTTCTTGTTGGTGCAAAATAAAAAAAAAATTTGTGCGTAAATCCTCAAAAAAAAAAATATATGAGCGTCTAAAGTTAAAACATTAAAATCACGAAAATCGGAAAATTATTTTAAGTAAGAAATTCATAAAAATGTTTCTATTTATACCTAGCTCCGAACATTTATTACAAGATTCAACTTAAGAGGATATCACACCCGCATGTGTTGTCTTCGTCTTACAGATGTACAACATGGTCACATGGAAAAAACTGTTTTGCGCGGGACAACTTTTCTCACACCATATTTGTCGTAGAACTACCAAATTTCCACAACACGTAAAGAAGAAATTTATCTGTGCAACAGAGGGCTATTTTTTTTTAACAACACTATCCAATCATTTTTTATAAGCAAATGAAAAAAAAAACCAAATGTTTAGAAGCAAATAACTTTTATTGTGTTTATGTTATCTAAATTATGGGCAAGCTGTTGCATAGATAATTGTCCACCCTATATGTTCAGAAATTTTGGAGCCACTGCTACAAACACAGAAAGATAAAAGTTGTCCCGCCCAAAACAGTTTTTGCCCTGTTGTACATTTGTAAGAAGGAGACAACACAAACGGGTGTCACATCCTCTTAAGATTTCCTACAAATATAACAAAAAAAAATCAGGAAAGTCAAATTAACATATTTTTTATCAGTTACCACAGTAATTGTTGATTATTTATTAGTTATTACCTCTACGCTTGTCAATTTGAAATTGAAGATATGTTACTAATCTAAATCCCAAACAGTATTGAATTAATATAGGTATTTATGTACAAAATTAAAACAATTAATTTAACCCATTGTATTAATACTAAAATAAATTATTGATGGTAATATAAAAGACTATACTAAAAGACCGTTTCCGCTAAAAATCATATTTTTGATACAATGATATATCATTGGATTCAAATTGAACACAATATACATCATATTATTATAGCAGTGTTTGGAAAGTTCAATATAACAGTGAACGGTGAACTCGTTCATGCTTGTTCACGTAAAATTAAAATAAATTAAATTCTTTCAAACACTGCATAATAATATTTATAGTGACACACTTGACATTTTATATACAGTAGAACGGTAGGTAGTAGGTACCCAAATTTATTTTATATTTTACAGTCCTATAGTCTATACCTAGTAATATAATTTTAGTTGTGTCGTAGGCAGACTGTTATTAAGCTCTCGCTAATTAGTTATGAATTATGATTAATGTTTAGACTTTGAGTATATTATACGATATACCTACCTACATACTAATATGATACGTATACCACTAACAAAATAACCACCGAAATTGCCAAACTATAACGAAAATTCAAATCAACTACTGACTACTGTAATACTAATACAGTCTACAAGTGACATTAAAATGAAATACTTGTTGCCCTGTAGTTTATAAACGATGTTGTTGTTTTGACTATTGGATGATAAATAAACACCTTTCAAAACTGTTGCCTCATTTTCAATTTGAATTAAATAACATTTCATATTTGTATTTAAAATAAAAATAAACAATGGGTAATGGGTTCGATCTCAAGATAAAATTATGTTCTTCCGTCATCAAATATATATGTATACCTACCTAATATATATGTATAGTGTTGCGCGACACGGGTATTATAGCCGTAACCAGCAAGCCCGTATGGTGATTTAATCGGAACGATAACAAAAATAAATTAAGGGGGCTGCACCATAGCATATTTTAAGGAGTACTATTTAGGCAATTCATGTGACATATAAATTAATACTGTATCTGTGTCTATATTAGTTGTATGGCGCATTCGAACAGTGGTTTAATATTATATTATATTATATTATATTATATTATAATCATTATTTATTTTCCAATTCTCAGTTATCAATTTACTGTGGTTCTGTGGCACTCTCTGTCCAGAACTGCAGACTGCAAAGTAGGTAGGTACTAATACAGACTGTCACAGCTGTTATTTTTATTTTTGGGTACGTATACGGTATACGTAAATACGTTAGATTTTTATTGAATAAAATTATCAAAATGTTCAGTATATTCAAATTAAAAAAAGTGGGTCAATGTATAATGGGTGGTACTAAATTTGAATTCAATGATATAATTATAATATCATTGTATAAGAAAACGATTCTGAGCGGAGACGGTATGTCAGTCTAGGTATAAGATATATTATACACATATATATTATGGTATTAAAAAAAATTGACCTATAATAAATTCCAAATTAATCATATAACAATATCCATTAGGTACTATTATAACGCGTTATACATCAACAACAAACCGTGATACTACCATAGATAAATAATAGTATACTTTAGAAGTTTCAAGTACCCACGGGCCACGAATAATATTATTCAATCACAACAAAATAACTAAAATAGTTATTCTAGGTTTCTTCTTATGTAATTTCGTCCAAATTTGAATTTAAAATGTCTGTAAAAAATAACTTGGTTATATTATAACCACATTATAATATTGTAATCCAGTTGATATCAAAACATTTTAATTGTAACTTAGTTAGAGTATTCTGAAAATATATAAAATATCAAAATAATATTGCTATTTACAAGTTTCAAAAATGTTTCACCCGAATAAAATAAATAGGTTAGGACTTAGGCGTCGTATATATAAATATATATATCTTTATATGTTTATTTATATATAAAAAAATCAGGTGTAAGACGATATAGTTTGCGTGTGATTTACCCAGAGACTACTCAACCTATTTTGATAAGACAAATAGACAATGCTCAAATTTTGGACGGTTTTTATGAGAAGGGGCATAAGTCATTTTTTGTTGGTTTTCAGAAGATGCATAAAACATTCCAAAATTTTTATTTTCTACTTAATCTAAATTTTTTTTTGTTTATGTTTTATTTATAATTGTTCACGTTTTTTCAACTTACTTTCATTATAGAAATTACATTATTATTCAGTTATTAATAACTTGTGACCAATTGCACATATAATATTGACTTGTGACCTTTCTCATATACTGACTTGTGCCCTATTGCACATTTAATAAAAAAAAGATTTTGACTTGTGTCCTTTTTCATACACTTCAAAATAAAATACTAATTAATATAATACTGCTTACTGAATTATATAAATTAATATTCTCAAAAGTAATAAAATAGACATACAATTATTAATGAAGTATAATTTTATTATTTAAATAATAATAATAACAAAGTAAGTTTTAATAATATTTCACACCTTCTTTGGTGACTAGATACTGATTAAAAAATAATAAAAATCATTAAA